TCACACATTGAGGGCTAAATATGTCGAAAAATTCAGTACGGAAAAAGTGAACTTTTTGGATAATTGTTGATTTTTCCTTGTGAAAATGAAATTTATCGAAAAATCTGACTACACCATGAGAAAGCCAAAGAAATTTCCTATCGAAAGCATATCTTTATTTATTTTTTCGGTGGAATTACAATGTTATACATGGGAATTTCTTTCACGTTGTTCGCTGTTTTCTGTTTCCGAGCTGATTCAGCGCGGTCGCGAGGTTTTCGGCTCGGTACAATCAAAACTAGCTCGTAAATTCCACTGAAAAAATAAATGAATATATGATTTCGATAGGAAATTTCCTCGGCTTTCTCATGGTGTAGTCAGATTTTTCGATAAATTTCATTTTCACAAGGAAAAATCAACAATTATCCAAAAAGTTCACTTTTTCCGCACTGAATTTTTCGACATATTTAGCCCTCAATGTGTGATGGCGATTTTCGCGGTAAAAATTGGATATTTCGAAAAATCAAATAGTACCATCGGAAAGCTGAGGAAATTTCCTATCGATTACAGTAGTCAGTTAAATTTTTCAGATGAGTTTTGATACTTTTTCAATGACTTGGAAATCGAGTAACTAGCCGCATTTACGAGAAAACATGATTTTTCGTCCTCTAAATCACAAAAGTAGCTATAAAAGTAAGCACTATTGAAATTTCAATGGTTCCTACGTGGTTACATGTTCCTGGGACCCCCAAAAACATTTTCCGGGGGTCCGTATCCGCGTAGCTTGAAAAAAAAATTTGTCGCGATTCTACCTCCAAAAATGCGTTTCATTTAGAGAATTGCTCATATAGCCGCCGCCGCCGCCGACGACAACTGGCTGCGTTTGCAACGTGCAGCGACTCGTATATATATTTATTTTTCGCTGCGATCCTACGCAATTATCGGTCTCTCTCGAGTTCGGTAAAACGTTAAAGCGCGCCGTGCGAGTAAATTTTTCTTCCGTTCGTTTTGTGCGACCAGCCGATATACATATATCGAGAGTGCGTGAGCGGAGGAAAAAAGAAACGATAACGTTTCCCAGAGCGCGCAGACAGCCGCTGCCACCGACACTTTGCGAATTCGATCGTACTATATATAATAATACTACCGTCGTGTGCTCGCCTTTCGATTTCCATCGAGATTCAGGCGGTGCGCGCGCACTCGCACGCGTTATATCCTATATAGATGTATAATACATGACACATATATTACGCGCGAATAAAATATACGCGCACGATTATATGTCAGTGTGTGTGTTTTCGTGCTCCCACATATTCTACTGACACCTACTACTACCACTGTATATACTGTAAGGCATGTGGTACGGCGGCTTTTGACAGTGGTGTCGGTGGTGGTGGCGATGCTGCTGCTGCTGCTGCGTGTATATAAAGCAGAGGCAGTAAGCGAACGCTTTTGATCCACTTTTGTCGTTCGACCTAAATACTCGTCGTCGACTGCTGCTGCTACTGCTGCACAGACAGACAGACGCAAGCATGTAAGCACGGCACAGCAGGCCGTGACAGACGTTTTCCATGCTGCTCTATACCCCCTATATACATACGATAAACCCCCACCCACGCGCAGCACCGAGAGAAAGAGATGTATATAGACACTTGGACTTTGACAACGACCAAGACGCCACACACACACACGGACAGACCACGACGACGTTCGTGTGTCTTATATCATGTTTTGTGTATTAAGCGCGACGCGTCATGCCGAGCCGAGCCGAGCTTTATCAAATTCCTTCTCTTTGGCCGGTGTGTCGCTCTTATCAGATTCTTACGTCACCCCGGCATCGTCGTCGTCGTCGTCGTTTTCTTCTCTGACTTTTGCCGGACAATTCGTTATTACATCTATATACGCTCCGACCGTATAATACGAAGTACGTCTGTATCGTGTATCGTCTGCTATATATGTAGAGCGTATTACAAAATCGACAATCGCACGCCGCCGGAGTTAAATGACTGTTACATTTAAATGCCTCGTATACCGAGTACATTTCGCTTTCTCCATACAATGTATTGCGAATGCTCGAAGCGGCGTAATGAATTATAACGAGAGCTTGAGCTGCTGCTACCGCCTCGTGCTTAAATAGGCATACACAACAACACACATTTATTCTCTCTCGGTTGTTGTTGTTTTTCGCTTCTGCTCGCTGTTTTTTTGTTTTTTTTAAAGCTCGCTCGCTGCCGCGACCGAGACTCTTCTCTCTCTCTCGCCTCGATAACAAAGTAACAACGATAGCTCGGGAGAAAGCGTCGATTTAATGAGCTTTGGGCGCTCGAGCTTGCGACCCAAGCGATCGCGTCAGCAGCGCACGATTGATTTTCTTTCTTTTACATTTTGATAATGATCCGTGTATGAATCGCAATGGGGGGAGCGAGCTCTCTTTCCACGCGTAATGAGTGCGACATTTTTGGCATTTCTCTTTCTCTCTCTCGCTGTCTCTTGGGAAAATTGCTCAACTTTTATTGGCTTTTTGCGGTCGTACTCTGTTGACCAAATTCGAATATAAATGTGATTCGCAATGAATGTATGTTTAAGCCAGCACGACGACGGAATTCCGAGTCTCTCTCTCTCTCTCTCTCTCGCTCGAATTTTTCGCCCGAAAATCGCCCGCTCACTTCGTGTTTATTATGTATGCGCGTATATTTATGAGCCATCCAATGCGCGCGGGAGAGCACGTGCTTATAGTCGTCGCTGTCGTCGGGGGGCTTTTGGAAAAACAACGCGCAAAAAGTATAATATTGCATTTTTCTGCGCGTAAATAACGAGCTGTGCTGCTATCGCGTCATTTATTTTGTATTTTTTTAATCTTTTTTTTTTTGTCAATGATTTATACGCGCAGTGTGTTGTGCGTATGCGCATGTGTGCAAGATGTACATTTCGATTCATTTCCAGAAACGAGCGCAATTTTTACGATTATGTCATGTATTACTTTCCTTTTCCGTACATAAATTTTACACGCGAGATATATACTTGAGTATACAATGTGTATTGACAGAAAAACATTGAATCACTCTCGATTATTGCCTCTCATAACTGTGTACATACAGAATTACTTCGTAATTCTTGCGACATCCCTCGCGCGTTCAAAGATATATATTCCGGTTTCCCTGTATACATATAGAGCGTGCCAAGCGCCTCGATTTACACTTTCCCTTTTTTTTTCAATTTGTCTATTCACAGCGTGTATGTGTGTTAATAAGCATCGAGAGGCACGTTAGAGTTTTTTAAGTATATAAGTACGCGTGGCTACTGACTTGACAGTTCGTTTGTTACGGTATCGAAAAAAATAAATGCTCGTGTGAAATCAGTCATTCCGTATACCTACACACACGGGGCTCGAGCCATATTTTGGTATTTATAAATAAACATAATAAAAAAAGCTCGACTCGCGAGCTTCTCTCGTAATAACAGATCGTATTATACAGTCGTTTGGCGCGCCGCGAAAATTAATATTAATAATGACAAACGAGCCGATGCGAATTGTACCGATCTCTCTCGAAGCACCAGTCACACAGCATAGCCAGCCACACGGCGCGCGCGACGCGTCCTTGCGTGCTCTCTCTCTCTCTCTCGCCTACGATATATAGATATAGATATACGTATAGTGGCATACACAAGCTTTACTTTTCGCGACCTTGAGACTGCGCGTCCTTGGCCCATAAAGTTCGCATGGGTATTATGTGTGTGTGTACACGATGAGAGATAGATGCAGCACACGCGTTTTAGCCCGAGATAACATCGAGGACGAGGAAATTTATTCGCTATCGCTATTTCTGCCGACTTTTATCGCTCGCCGATGTATTTTTCATAATTTTTTTGCGGATTCACGCGCGAAGACCGACACCTTCGAGTCCATGAGATAAAACGATTTTCGCGCGTAATATCGAAGGGTATGATGAGATTAGTCTCGTCGCGGCCTCGACGGGGGGGATTTTTTTGCAATTTTAATGGGACGTTTGTGCTCGCGGAGCAAGGACGAGATACGCACCTGTCTTTGCAGACGCGGTAAGCTTGAAAAATCCACAAATTGCCCTCTAAGCGATTGGACGAGCTTGACGGAAATTTTTCGCATTTAACGAACGATTTACTTTACCACGGAGCTTTTATGCACGTTTACTCCGTTCTGCTGTATTACACGTGTGATCTACGCGATGCGCGCGTGTGTCATAGACAGAGACGTGACTTTGACACGCAATCGAGTTTGTGGAGCAAACAATAATTAGAACAATTAAATGCGTTAAATACCGAAAGATAATTGAACTCGTCATGTTCTTTCCTTTTTTTTGCGTATACGATAACGAGTATTATATACATGAGAAAACGAGCGCGTAAGTGTGTGTACGTCTCCGCTGACGCTCGTGTGTGCAGTGGTATACGAGAGTAAGCTAACTCGATCGACAGCTGAGCCGCTGTGTGCACGCAGTATAAACTGGTCACGAGCAATCGCGTTGCATTATTATTATCATGATTGTTTGCCGCAGCGTTTCCGAGCATGTCACACGACTATACGACTACGACGACTACTATATATAGGCCTCGTGCTCCACAATGCCGAGAGTTCGACTTACGAGCTTTAAAAAAAAAAAAAAGCGTAGCCATTGGACTCGAGCTTGCAAGTATTGATATTTTGCTAAAACTCCTCGCTACTACTCCGCGTGCTATAACCGCGCGTACACACGTATCGCTAGCTGTACTACTGGATTCTGAACTTGAATGTGCTGCGTATGACGCGCGCGAAGCTTTTTTCAGCAGCTTTTATACGTCCGAGCTTTTATGTATGTTTTTAAGAGTATATTCGACACAGGTTCATTCAAGACACGATTTTCAACGTTAAAATAAAGGCTCGACAAGCTTTCAACACTGTTAAATGTCACAGATTCGCGCGGATTCTCGTTTCAACTCTACATACAACGCGCTTACAGAACTAAAATTATAGAAAAAATAATGTCGATAAAGCATTGTGTACTCACCCTCGAGCTTCATGCCGACCTCGAGGCACTTCTGGAAGCGGCAGTAGGGACACCGCTTGCGCTGGGTCTTGTCGATGTGGCAGGTGCGCTCGGCCACGCAGGTGTACACCTTCTTGTTTTGCACGGTGCGCTTGAAGAAGCCCTTGCACGACTCGCACGTGAGCAGGCCGTAATGATAGCCCGACACCTTGTCGCCGCACACGGGGCAGAGCTCCTCGATGCTGTCCTTCGTGTCGCTGAAGTCCGCGGAGGAGCCCGCCGCGACGACGCTCACGCCGAGGCCAGCCGCGGCCGCGCTCACGCTCAGCGAGGGATGGCACAGGCCCGCGGCGAGCACCGACGCGCTGCCGTTGTTATTATTATTGTTGCTGCTACTGTTGTTATTGTTATTGTTCGTCGTGCTATTGGTGGTCGGACTACTGTTATTACTGCTGTTGCTGCTCGTGCCGTGATGCTGCTGGTGCAGCTGCTGTTGACTGGGATTCGTCGAGTGTCCGTTGCTGTTGCTACTGTTATTGTTATTGTTGCTGCTGCTGTTGTTGTTGTTGCCAGCGCCAGTGTGACTGGGCGAGGCCGTCATATAGCTGGTGGAAGCCGAGGATTGGCCGTCGACGAGGCTGCCGAGCGACGTGGCGGCGTTGGAATTTCCGCCGCCACCCCCGGCCGCGTTGCCGCCACCGCCACCGCCGGGACCTGTGGGCGAGTACATAACTGTGTAGACCTTTTTAGAGTTGCACGGCGTCGTGGATTGCTTAAAGTAGTTTTTACAGGTATTACAAGTGAGGACGTGATAGGGATAGGTGCCGGACATTTTGTCGCCGCACATGGGGCAGCGCTCCTCGAGGCTGGTCGACTCGTAAAAGGCCGACTCGAAGCTCGTCATGGGGCTTTGGGCGCTTTGGGCCTGCTGTTGTTGGCCGTTGTGCTGCGAGCCCATCTGAGCGCTACGCGGCTGGCCGAAACTACCGGTGGGACTCTGGGCGCAGTACGACGACGAGCCGTACTGCTGATGGGTCTGGGACTGTTGCTGTTGCTGCTGTTGCTGCTGCTGTTGGGACTGACCGGGCGCGTTGTTGCCCGCGCCGCCCTGAGGACTGTTCTGGGGGCTCATTTGGAACGGAGACATATTGAGGGACATGAGGCCCGAGTGCTGCTCCATCTCTAATAACATAGCAGCCGCCTGCTAGCGGGGTGGCTTCCGAGATACTACTAGTAGCTAGCAGCTAGCTGCGATCGTCGTTGTTGTTGTTGTTTTTGCGGGTCGGCAGCAGCACGCGGCAACGAGCCACGCTTATAGCTGGCAGCATGCGCGTAAACACACACACACAACAGCACTGACACGCTCGGGATTTTGGTCGAACAACACTGACGTATAGAGAGAGAGTTGGAAGAGCGATAGAGAGTGATAGAGAGAGAGTCGAGCTTTTGCACACAGAGACACACTGAGAGAGAGAGAGAGACACAGTCCACTAACAAAATTTTTCTTTTTTTTTACGTCAGAGACTGTATTATATAGTCACGCGCGACAAACGACACACAGAGATATTGAGAAATAGCCTCTCGTGCGAGGTTTATTCTCACTTTTTTTTCGAAACGGCACCCACTTAATTTTTTTTTGATTAATTCAATTTTAGAACAAAAACACACTTTTTTTTTCATCAGAACTTGTAAATCCAGAGGCGCAGGATTCGATCGCACAATAGATACACCGGCGTCCGAAGCATATTCGAAGTTTGATCGATTTTACTCGAGTCGCACCCACTGTGTATTATACTAATTTTTCTGTTTTGCAATTTTTCAACCGTGTCTCGTCGTTTCTCGCTGGGCCTACTACGTGTATATTGTACGTGTCTTGGGTCGATGAATTCTTTCTTTTTCTTTTCTATTACTTCTGTGCACACTCGCGAGGCATCATTATAATCACAAAAACAAACAAGTAAAACACCACTGGTTATACACACGGCTATTACGATATCGTATGATAATACGGAGCTGCTTGCTGCTTGCTCTCTTGGCGGGGCGCGCGCGCGCGCTGTCACTGGTTTTTAGAGTCGGGCTCTAGCACTTTTTTATTATTATTTTTTTTTCTTTCTTTCGAGCTGAGCTACCGACCGACTACACTGCTACTATATCGCGCACGGATCAATGCTTTAAGTAGAGGAGTCGAGGAGAGCTAGCCGAGGTACACACACACACACGAATGTACGTAACTTTATTTTTTTTATTTTTTATTTAATTTTTTTATTTCGTACGCGGGCGAACGCGCGCGCGCACGAATTTTAACCACTACTTTGATACTTTCGATGTTTGTTCGTCGTCGCTTTGCTCGGATTCTCGCGGCTCTGGCTCAAAGCTCGATCATTTTTGCAAATTTTATTGAAATCCGCGCAACATCGAGCGTGTCATACGAATTGAAACGAGGCGCGTAGGAAGAGAATCGGCGCGTCGAACGAGAGAGATAGAGATTCCCGACAGCGATAAAAAGCCCACGCCGCGCGCGTGTCTCGGCGCGTCGAAGCTTCGTATCACACTGACCGAGCGACCGACTATATAATTTGCACTCCTCGGCTCGCTCGCTCTCTGCTGCTCCGCGTGCATGTGTTCGCGCGTACGTGTATGTGTGTCAGTGTGTTGGTTGGTTGGTTGTGTTTCCCGAAGGGCTGTTGGCGGCGCTTCGGGCGAACGCCTCCCTCTCTCGGTCTCTCTGTCTCTCTCCGCTCACTCTCGGCTTCACTTTTCGTGTGCGCGCTCCCCTTCTCCTTTTTCGTCGTCGCGGCTTCTATACACTGTGTTTCTCTCTCTCTCTCTCTCTCACTCGCTCGATTCGCGCGCAGCAGCAGCGGCGGCAACTTCCTTCCGTCCTTATCTGCTCCTCCTTTTCGCTCTCGTTTTTCGCAACTCGAGAGCTTTAACGCTATACACTAGCTACTATAAGCTACGATAGATCGTTATAAGTGTGTCGAATCGTAATAGAAGTACGGGCCCCGCAGTACTAAAAATCGAGAGTCGCTAATGCTTTTTGCCCTCTCGCATAATATATATGGAAAATCGCGTGGAGTAAGAGAACACAAAAAGAGAGAGGGAGCGCAGGAGGGAGGGAAGTCAGCCACGGCGGCGAATCTGCGAGCGAAAAACGACGACGGCGGCACAGGCACATAAGTGAAAGTGATTCGGCAGCCAGCAGCGGTGCATGCCTCGCGTAGAGCCGCACCAGAGCCGATGATGCCGAGAGTACGTTTATATACAGGCCCAGGTGTGCTCGGAGTTGCCGCACGAAGCGGCGAGGAGACGACTCGAATAATATAATATTCGCGAATCATATGCACGACGTGCTGCTGCTAGAAGGGAATATCGCATGCCGCGTTTTTCCAACGAGACAGAGACAGAGAGAGAGAGAGACAAGCTCGAGACTCTGCGAGCGAAAAAGTTGCGAAGGTGTTTTTTTTTTTTGCGGGAGGGGAAACGTATATATGTACACCGAAGCTGAGGAGGGGAAAACGCACACGAGCAGCAGCAGCAGCAGCAGCACGTAATATTACACACGACGCCGTCGCGAAAAACGAAGGAGGGTCGTGTACTGTACGTGCATGCACTCCATATAGCGTGCACAACGTAAATATTACATACACACACGCGCGCGAGCGCGCGCACCTACATAATACATGCATGCACACAGAGATGCAAGCTTGAGTGTGTGTGTGTGTGTGTGTGTCTGTGTACGTGTGTGCAGTCATTCCATAGAGAGATATAACGTAAGAGCGAGAGAGAGAGAGAGAGAGAGAGAGACAAGTTTTTGCACGAGTGGGAGGGAGACTTCGCACACACACACACCAACACACGTATGTATGCAAGAGAAGCCGAGAGAGCCGATCGCGGGCACACACCACTGCTGCTGCTACTGCCGAGGTATAGAGTAGTAGTAGTAGAGTCGAGTCGAGAGAGAGAGAAGGGATGACCTACTTACGGAACCAGGTCTATGTCGGCCGGAGAAATATTGTCCAAAGCGCGACGGCGGCGCGCGCGCACTCTCGCTCTCGATTGTATTTATACTGTGTGTGTATACGTATAGAAACACGATTCATTGTGTCACTGTGTGCGTGTGTGTGTATATCGGACTGCTCGCGAGCTTTGTGTGTACCCTGCTGTTTGTGTGCTTATACTTATAACGCACACACACACGCGGGGCGCGATTACTTAATACGGAGAGCGCGAAACGTACATAATGCGATACACGCACACATATGCTTTAATATACGTTGATATATGTATTCGTGCGCGATACAAACTCGATATCCGCGTGTGTGCACCTTAGATACGAAATAGGTAATATCGAGCCTAGATTCATTTTATCTAAATATTCATCTATTTGTGTACACACACGCCTCTTTTTTTTTCTTTCTTTTAATTTTTTTATCAAATCTTCTATATAAAGAGTTTGACACTTGCTGCGGGCTACCGTCTTTACTCAGGCACACAATTGTATACGCGTAATTATATGCGTACCTATTATTATTACGTACCGCATAGACTGTATGTCGACGCCGTTATTGCCCTGCCTACACATAACACGCGTGTGCTCGGTACTCGGGTATATATATACGTACGTGTCTCTAATTGCTTTATAAAGTCGATCGCGCGAATTGCGAGAATGCCTAAGGGCAGCAGAGGCTATCTGTCGTCTACGTCATTTTTACCGGCCTATATTTCTCGCATATGGAGCAGCACACCGGCATATACGACCAGCGCGCGCCTTTTGTCCCAAACGCTTACGCGATTAAGTTATTAATTCCTTATATACCGCTCGCATGGCTCTGTGTGTATATAATAGTTGTATAGTCTGCAGAACGTCTGATGTGCGTGATGTACGTATGTTATGTGGGACTCGGTATATATACATATGGACCCTTCGGCTACGTGAGCTAATTCGTGGTACAGCCAGAACTACGGCGATGGGGCTATTGTGTAGCGCGACCAAGTATAAGACCCGGTACACAAAAACAAAGACCAATAGCAGAAGCTCAAAACTGTCCATACACGCGCCTAGATTTTTAATATCATAAATGTTTATCTGTACATGACGCGTTGAGCCAAGTCGCGAGCTTGCACGCGACCAACTGTACTAACTCCGATGGTGGTGTTGGGGATCGTCGAGGTATAGTCGTATAGCGGCACGAGCAACACGTTGCACTTTTACAACAATCAATTCGAAATTTAACTGTAATATCGAATTTCGCAATTGCCGTATACAATACATATACACATACGTATTCGGCGCTTTTGTGAAACTACACTCCGCGTGACACATCATGCATACGAACAAAAGACTTTTGGCGTAACATGTATTACGTGGTATATACATATACACGACATGTATATATATAACGATACGATACGATGAATGTGTATGTATGTACGTATGTGCGAGAGCTGTGTGTCAGTGTGTCAGTATGTGCGCGCGCGCGGCAATATTATATATTGGCCGACTGGCCGATATTTGCCTTTGCGGTTTATTTTGGAGTTCTCTCTCTCTCTATACACAGGCGAACCTCATCTATTTTCGAGTGAACGATAATAGCCCGACGACAACGTCTAACGCTATATCTATCGCTAGCGAGCGAGCAAAGCCTTATATCTATATTACGTGTGTGTGTGTGTGTATGATCGTGCGAGCCGAGAGCAAATTCGCAAAGGCCGTGTGTGTGTGTGTGTGTGTGTGTCCAACGAGCGCCGAGTGTGGTATTTTTAAAGAAAAAAATTCAGCCACTTACGCAAATAAACAAAAAAAAATGTGTGTGTATAAATATAAAACGCGGCTCTGTACGCACACGCGTCGTACTCTTGCGCCCCGCGGCCGAGAGAGATAGAGATAGATACAGTATAGAGCGATTTTTATATAGGTACATATTCGAATGAATGCCGCCCTGTCATAAGCGCGAGTAATACGCTACTATGACTTTTATACGATCTTTTGAAATTTCGTTTCGACAAAAAGTTTCGCGGGTATAATAGCGCGATTTGTTAATTCCGGCCGTTTATGCGTACAATACAATATCAAACGAGTATATTTAATATTTCACGGACGAGGTGATAAAAAAGTAAAAAAAAGCGTCACTCGATCATAATAGTCACTCTCTTGGCGAGCGAGCGTACGTATACGTACGAACGAACGAACGAGGCGTACGTTACATTAATGTTGTATAAGGAGCCCCGAGAGCGCTGATATCCATTATTAATTTTTATCTGACCTAATTTTTCGCTTTTGCTTTATTTATGCTTTTATTGGTAATTGTTGGCTTCGAGTGTCGTTCCCCGCGCGCGCGCGCGCGAACGTACTTCGCCATGCGTGTAGTAAGAAATTTTCCGGTTTGTTAAACGGGCGCTGTGCAGGCTGCTTATCGTCGTGTTAATGTATACATTACATCGAATATGTGTGCGCGCCTTGGACTGCATTATTACAAACAAATAATTCGACGACGACGATGCGGCTCGAAACGAAAAAGAAAAATCGTCCGAAGCGCACGAGTTACTTTTTAAAGCGATTATGTACGAAGTATATTAACCGATCGATAAACTCATTTTACATGTATGCGCGCGAAACGTGTCTATATAGGCGAGAATTTCCATCGATCGATTTTTACCGATAAATTATTGAAAAAATGTGCCGCTCGTTGTAAAAAGCTCCAACGCTTGCGAAGGATCAGCCGCGCGCGCGCGCGGATCATAAATTAGTAAAATTTACGGATTACGTTAAAACGAGATAGCTTATCGCGAGTTTAATATTTGACAGACAGCTGGTGGTTAACGTCGATGAAATTTTTTGCGCCACGATGAGCAAATTTTTTTTCTTTTACAATACATTCGAAAGTTTTGAACGATAATGCGGTCCATCTCGACAAGCACGTGAGCTTTTTTCGCGTTCGTAATTTCTCCTGATTATTATTTAACTGCAAGGACTCGGGTGCTGTTACATAGAGTCGCACGTGACTCGATCTCGAGAAACACACATTCTAAACCCATGGTAGAAAGTGCGAGTCAAAAATTCGCAACTCGATCGATCCGATCGCGATAAAAGTTCACGCCGCGATTTTGTATTATCATAATAGATAGATAAGTGCGCGCATTTTTCGCGCCTATACGTCATCTCTATACAACATAAAAAAAAAAAATCGAAGAATTCAGGCTTTTAAAAATGGAGTTCGCGGAAGGTGATACGCTTTTTCGGTACGCGCGCTATCTTCTATACGATGATATAATAATACGTCATTCGAAAGCCAGTAGTGGAATAATCGAACGAATCGCGCGCGGATCTCGGCAAGTTTCTTGCACCCACGTATTTTTTGGCGTGCGTCAAACGAGCGACGACGCGCGCTCTATAGCCATGGCCTTTGATTAATGCCCTTGCGTCTGGCTACACGGGTTAATATTAACGAAAAAAATCGAGTCTATCCGTCATTTGCACGAGTATATAATAATAGGAAAAACTGATCGAGCTGTCGGAACGTGCGGTCGAGATATTATAACTCTCGTTTTCACGGTGGAGATAGATAGCAAAAAAAAAAAAAAAAAAATACGCAGCACTCTGGTCGTGGACGAGCTTTTTGCGAGAGTATTGACCTCTTTTTTGTCGTCAGCTGTATAGTATATATAGACGTAAGTTTGTTCACCCCGAAAGAGGATGTGTTGTGCTCGCGCGGGCGATAATCAATATTTTCCGAATATCAACCCCGATTAAAATAAATCGCCGGCCACTGCCGCACGCGCGCTATACCGACACAAACTGAACTCAATTATGTATATGGATTGAAACACTCTCTCGTGCGGGTAAATGATTCGTAATTACGAGTGACGCTTTTGAAAAACACACATAAAAAATGGGTCTCTCTACCCTTTTCGATCTCGTGACCGTAACGTCGAGAGCCGAATCCGCCGACGATTGATCATCGTCCAATTTCAAAAAAAATGTTTTTCAGTCTCGTGGTCGTCATCCCTCGATCACGTGTAAAAAGCTTCTCTGCTCGTTGTGAAATCGAGCCGCGAACGGACAAAATTGCAGCGAATTTATTTTCCTCTCAATAATATGGATCTATATGATGTCTCGCGCTACTATATAGCTCACGTCCGTCTGGGCGAGATATTATGCGAGCTCTCTTCCGTAACTACAGTGGGCGCGCACATCGTTTAATTTCGCTTGCGATACGCTAAATTTATAATATCAATTTCGGTAAAGAATTAAAACTAAACATAGCCGCGCGCTCGCGGCCAACGAGCACTGGCCTGACTGCCTGCCGAGAGATCAATTGCGAAGTGTGTCAATTCGCCTATACGCACACACACACACCTAGTATAATATACGAAATGAATAATACAGGATTACACGAAATAAATCTTGTTGCGAGCGCGCTACACGCGGAGGAGAATTAAATTTCATCTAGATTATAAAAATAAAGTATAATTATTATGCGTACGAGTTACAAAATTTATGTGCCAAGTTATATGTGTTATGTGTTATGTGCTGTGTGGTGCGCGAGAGGAGAAAGATAAAATTCGCTTGTGTGCGCGCGCGCGTGATCGAGTTATTTTTAAGCGTGATCGGTGGGCACAAGCAGTCTCTCTCGGTCAGCAGCAGCAGCAGCAGCAAGAGGACGAGATGAAGAAGTACCTGTTAGGCAAACGCGTCGAATAATCTTTGCCATATTCTTCTGCCTCATACGTATAATACGTGTTATATATATTACGTAAGCTTTGGTACACTCGTGAGCTCGCTTCGAGATCCGAGTCCGAGTCCGAGTAGGAGGGATAGACACCGGATTACCATAATCCGAAACGTTCGCTGCTGCTGCTGTTGGAACGAAAAGAGAGAGAGAGAGACGGAGAAAAAGTCGAGTAAATCGACGCGCGTCGAAGCGAGCTGGGCGCGCAGCGCAAAATATCCGATACACGCGCGCGAGGAAGCCCGCGCCGTATACAACAACAACGAAAAAAAGGTGCAAACGAAAGAGAAAGGACTCGCGGACCTGACTCGTATATATATATATACCACTACTGCTGCTACTACCACACCGATCGCCCCTTCTGCCTTTATGTGTATGTATCTTGGGTGCTCGCTTGGTGCGAGCCTCTGCTTTCGCGAACAAAGAAAAAATTCGCTCGGCAGCTCCGAAAACAAAGACGATTATCTCTCTCTCTCTCTTTCCACGAGCTTTCGATTCTCGTAAAAGAGCTTTTCACTTTTTTTTTCATGCTGCTGCTGCTGCTGCTGCTGCTGACGAGCAACGAGCTCTGCGGAAAAAATGTATCCAGCGAGTTGTAGCTTTTATAGCATATATATTCGCGTTTATAAGCCTGGCTTTTATACACACATACACAAGCTGCGCAATTATAAGTACATGTACCAATGCGTGAACGCATGGTGAGTGTCGCAATAACCCATGCGCGTGTGTGTAACACATAACTCGTTGCACTGCTCGCTACAGGCAAAGACGCCCAGAAATCAGATTTTTTCGACGTAGCGAATTTTATCGCACTTAAACGCAGAAAGAAACACGCCTGATTTTTTTCAGAATTTTTTGGAACGATTTTTGGATTTTTGAAAAAATGGTGTTATCCAGAAATCCAAAAATCGCTCCAAAAGTTCTGAAAAAATTCAGTCATGTTCTTCGATCAATTCTAAACACTTTTTATTCTTTAACTTTTTCTTGAAAAGTTGATGGTTATCGAGTTAAAAATTGTCGAAATCATTTTATGACATACAGGTCTTCGAGAGCCGAATTTATGATCGCCATTTTGAATTTTGTCATTATAACTATTTTACAATAAAGTATACATGCCATTGACCAAATTTATATGCGTCAGATCCACGAGCGAACCTTCTTTCCGTGTTGAAATTTGAGTTGAACGAGATTTTTTTCTCGAAATTTCATGTTTTTTTTTACAAAATTGTTTATAACTTTTTATCGAATAATTTTTTTTAAATTCTGACACCGGATTCGAAAAGTACATTAAATTTTACGTAAGAAATTATGTCTGAAAAATTTTTCAAACAATTTTTAATCGGTGTAATTCATCGCTATAAATGTTGTCCAAAAATGGTCACTTCGGGCGTTAAAGGGTTAAGGGCTTGAAAAAATCTTTTTTCCATTTTTTCAACTTTTACAATATTTTTTTTTATACATTTTGTTACATTTCTTTTTACATTTTTTTTTTATACATTTTGTTTCGTTTGTTTTTACACTATTTTCATATTTTTTATAACTTGGGCCGTTAGCTGCTAAACAAATATTATATAAATCTTTGTTCCTCAGATGTTGTATCATCATTTCACAACACTCGATTGGCAACCGATAAGGTATCAGCTCCCAGAAAGGATTCAATGCGCAACCGCAGAAAAATCCTCTCGATAGCTTCTCGCAAAGATGAAGGGCACAAGCCTTTTTGTGCTTTACAGGCAGAGAAAGATAACGATCCGAGCCCGCGAACTCCATGTAGTCGGTGCTAGTGACTAGTTTCGCCGCTGTTTTGGGTCGCCATCCAATTTCCATATTTTGCGAACGAATCCATAATCGTCAAAATGTCCGTTATGTTCAGTTCGTGTCCTGCTTCCTCTAGGAGTTGAACGACGCACATGGTCCTCGACGCTAGTGTCAATTTGAAAACGTCCGAGTGACTAAAATCTTTCGGATCCAGTGTCGAAGAGGGAAAAACGAAAGTAGACAGATCATCAGCGCCATGATTCAAGAGCTGATCGACCGCTTTCGGCAAGAGATTCGCCACGGCCAGTTGCAGCGGTGTCCGGCCCTTCTTGTCTCGGACGTCGACCCGTATGGTTTGATGCCTTTTGTTGCCGAACTTGAAGAGTATCTCTGCTAATCCATTATCTTGATGTTTCTGGCAAATAATATGCAGCTCTCCTTTCGCATTGGTCAGATTCGGATTGGCTCCTTTTCTCAGCAACAACTTGACCTATTTCCCTTCGCTGTAGCGCAGAGCCCAGTGCAATGGCGTCATTCCGAATTTGTCCTGGGCGTTGACCTGTGCCTGACGACGATTTTGGGTAATCCTGAAGAATTCTTCCGACATGGTATTGTCGTAGTAACACTGACAAATAACATGCAATGGAGTCGACCCTTCGTTATTGGCTACATTAGGATCGGCTCTTCTTGACAACAAACACTGGGCTGCCTTCGTATTGTTGCAGTGCAATGCGTAATGTAGAGGAGTATTACCCAACTTGTCCCGCAAATTGAGCTGCACCCCCTGACCTGTTTCGGCGATGATACCGAAGAATAGTCCGACCCCGTCGTCCTTCTCGTTATTATGAAAATTTAGTTCCTGGCAAATCAGATGCAGAGCTGACAAGCCCTTCGAATCGACAGCGTTTGGATCAGCGCCGTTACGCAGCAACAATTCGAGCGAATATTTACGTCCAAATTTCAGTGCCAAATGTAACGGTGAATCAGTCGATGGTTGCTCGAGACAATTGGGATCCTGTCCGAGCTCAATAAATTTTTGGACAACGTCGTCAAAGCCGTACCGGCAGGCCAAGTGAAAGTGCGACGTACCCCGCTCGTCGACGTAATTCAAGTCATATCTATTGTATATTTGAAAAAGTTCATATACGACGGCGTTCAAACGAATCCCGTCGTGTCTAGCTGAGATGTGAATTGGTGTAGTGCGACGCAACGATGGCTTTCCGGTTTCGTCAACTTTGGGCTCGTCCTTGTAGCCGGCGCGAAACACGAATCCAATGATTCGTTATCCTTCATGACCATGTAAATCTTCGCACACGTGGTCGATTGAACCCCTGAGAAGACGTTCAATTTCTTCAGAACCTCGTAAAATGCATTTTTACTTTTCAAAATGTCAGTGTAAAATCGTTCACATTATCGAAAAATTCATGTACAGTGGTCTACCGCACAGCGCCCGTTGTGAGGCAAACACGGCCGATGGTTAACTAATTTTTCGATATTGTGAACGATTTTACATAGAAACACATTCAAAATTTTTAATGTGTCAATGGCTAGCCACGGGCGCTATGCGGTGGACCGCTGTACATGAAATTTTCGATATTGTGAACGATTTTACAATGACATTTTGAAAAGTAAAAGTGCATTTCTACATAAAATTTTACGTAAAATTTTCACCCTGATGTCAGGGATTGAGATAAAAAAAATTTTTTCGCTCTTTAACATAATTATTAATGGGAAAACACGATTTATAATGCTTAAAATTTTTATCTTTTCGATACATATGCTACAAATATGAAAATGAACATAGAAGTCTCAAAGATCAGTCTTCAAGAGTCTCGTGACGCTACAATGTATAATTAACGATCGCCTACTGCAAGCTCGTAGCACGATGCAAAGCAATGCGTGTGCGGGCCTTTTTTGATGTAAAAAAATTATAGAATAACAAAAATTACGGACGATAACAGAGCCGTGCCTCGCAGTACACGTCTCTCGTAAATAATTCGCGCTAAATGATACACTTGGCCTGCATGTGTGCGCATGCATAGCAGCTTTAACACACATACGCGCACACATTCGTGCTGTATAGGTGCTAACAGAGGCGTGCGAGTATTACCTATACACACACACATACACACACACTCGTATTATAGGCATATGCGCGCATGTTACGTACACGTTCGTAAGCAGCGAGCGGCGAGCCTATATACGGAGTGGCCGCCGCGTGTGTATGAGTAGATGTATGTAAGAGCGATTTGTGCAGCGCGAGTAAGCGAGTGACTCGCGAAACTGCGCGAGCGACTCGATCGCGCCTCTGTGTGTGTGTGTGTGTGTGTGTGTGTGTGTATGTAAGCGTACGCCTGAAAGCGAGCGCGCGGCGAGTGAGCGGCTGCGCCAGCAGCAGCAGCAGCAGCAGCAGCAGCGGCAGCGTTTCGAACAGGGGTAGGGAGTCCCACTGACCTACTTTAGACTTAACTGCTGCTGCTCGATGCTCGAGAGCATGACGCACACCAGCACCTCTGCGAGCGTATAGCAGCCGAGGCACGCTGAGCAGCAGTACCGACGGTACTGTGTTTTGTATATGAGGCGTTTCATCCCAAGTGTCCCAACACGGCGACTGCATGGCACTTTTAGGCGAAATTTCTATCTCGCTTGAGAGACCCCTTATCGCACTTTGAAAAAATTAGAGATACATGATTTCGATTGGAATGTTCCTCAGCTTTTCGATGGTGGAAAAATAAAAATTTCGATTACGCTGAATAGTTGTCAGAATATTATCGATTTCATTCATATCATAGCTATGAAATTAAACAATAGTGGCTTGAGATAAAATAATAAGCTTTTTGTTAATTTGAAATGTATTAAATGAGATTTAGATCCATGCGATGAACAGTTTTCATTTTTCAACAAAAAGTTAACTTTTTGTCGTACAGGTAATTAATGAGATTTTTTGGTTCAAAGTTGAAAACGAGAATTTTGAAGCTATTATAATGAAATTATATTATATATTCCAACTAACTATTTTAAACAAGCTAGAAAGATTTTAGATTAATACGATGAATAGTTTTGATTTTTCAACTTTCCATTTCTTTTCGTAGAGTTAATTAATGAAATTTTTCTTGTTCAAAGTGCCAATCCATCTCGATGAAAAAAATTTCTTTTCTTAAATTATTTATTTTGGAAGAGTACATTGAAAAGTGAAATTTTTGAAAGTTTCAGGCCTCTAGGTCCAACCCTATTAAATTTTCAGGGTCTTAAGGGCTAACAGGGGGCTTAATTATTTATCATTTTTCAATTACAGTACTAGGCTATAAAAGTGAAAAAAAAAGGTTTTTTTTCAATAACACAAATGATAACCCTTTTCAATAGCCTATTTGAAAGTATTTTGTCAAGTTAGATACTTAGAAACAATTGAGTACAATAATAATGAGGGTATTGGTGCTCAACACAAGCTATACGCATATCTAAGCTACCTGTCGTAGAAATCCAAGATCAAGGCTATCATCTTATGGCTAGCTTTTGGTTGCGACCATGGCCAATTGGCTATCGAACAAAATGAAACTACATAGGCTTCTTTAGCTGAATGCTTGATCCCAGATTTCTACGACAGGTAGCTTAGATATGCGTATAGCTTGCGTTGAGCACCAATACCCTCATTATTATTGTACTCAATTGTTTCTAAGTATCTAACTTGACAAAATACTTTCAAATAGGCTATTGAAAAGGGTTATCATTTGTGTTATTGAAAAAAAAACATTTTTTTTCACTTTTATAGCCTATTACTGTAATTGAAAAATGATAAATAATTAAGCCCCCTGTTAGACCTTAATCATATAACTGTACTAAAATAAATGTGTGCATATCCTTTGACTAGGCCCATATTGTAATATGTTCATCGATATATCAAAATACAATTTCTGATAAATTTTGGTTATCGGCAGACAAACAGAATTTATTAGCTTAATATGAGTCAAGAAACAAAGAAAATGAGAGAAAAACCATATTTTTGACTCGTATTAAGCTCAATAATGTAGATTTGTTTGACTGATAAATAGCATAAGTTGTATTTTGATATATCGATCGATAAACACATTACAATATGGGCCTAATCGAAAGATGCAAACACATTTATTTTAGTACAGTAATATGATTAATGCAGGAAAATATCATTTTTATGGGTTTTGAAGTTGTATATATGATTTTTAAGTTGAAACTTTCAGAATTTTTACTTTTCAACGCACTCTTCCAAAGTACATAATTTGAGAAAAAAAATTTTTTTGACAATCACACTATCGTTTAGCCAATAGATCTACTATATTATAGTATATATAATACACTTATCGCAGTACGAGCCCATATGTATAGAGGCGTCCATATCGTTTGTTTGTTTTATTGTGTTTTCTCATACATAGATTACACGTATTTAAATGAGTACTTTAAGTGTACCTGCACTCAATCATGTGTTATGTCAAGAAAAACGATCTTATCTATTACATATATCTATGTGACGTTCTTATTGAATTTTGTTTTTTGTTTTCGTCCGTGCGATGCTTCGCCATGGAATAATTTTATTGATCTACCTACTATATACAAGTGTTCAAACAAAAAAAAAACATCCGCTATGCTTTATTAGGAAATTAATTTCCATAAATTCTTTTGAAATGCAGCTTGAAATCATTCGGCGACTTTTTATCGTTTTTTCAACGAATGATAAAAGTCGACTTATGTATCATTATTGTAACGACGATTAGAGTAATTGTGCGCAGCTCTCCAAAAAACGTAATCACACAAATTCAATATTGCATACTTTTATCTAATCATAAATTATACATTCATTGTAATTTTTTCTAACCGCGATAAAAAAATAAATGAAAATTATTTTCAACATCATATTGATATTATATTTACAGAACGATTAAAAAACAAATATGATTTCGATACGCGAGATGACGAGCAAAAGCTGGTTGCGCGAGCATGGGAAAATAAATTTTTTCAAAGCTTTTGTACCTATCACGCGTACAGAGAATGTATCGATTTAAAAAGTATCGATACGATACTAATCGACTCGCAGAGCATCAAATATAAAAATTAGCATGTATCCATCGCACCAACAATTTTGATCGACATTATTATTAAGCATGTGCTTGTACAGACTCGATCACGAGTATAGTCGGCAGGATTTTCTCTTCACCAACAGTTGTCAATATATATAATGGGTTATATCAGAAATGAGTTGATAGGTCCAAAAATGACCTATCAACTAAATGCATTTCTTAAAAGTACATGAAAAAACAAAACTTTTCATGTGTTTAAAAAGTGCCATGGTTCCTTCCTTCAAAATCTACAGCTGCTCAAAGTTAGAATCTGAAAACTAACTTTTTTCTCCATAGGCCCAATGTAGCTCTGAAAAATAAATCAAGCATAGTATTTTTATGTATTTTTTGATTAGGAATTTATTGGTGATATGTAAAAAGTGATTCAGATACTCTTACACCATTAAAAATCAAAAAAATGCATTTTAGGCCCAAAATAGATGTGTTCGTCCTCTTGGATTTGCCTGAAATTAATAGAGTATCATTACAACATCAAATTAAAGCCCTCTACCAGGTGGCATTATCGGTTGGCCAATATCGAGAAAGATATACTATGAAATGTGGCCATCTTTCACTTTTACATCATGATAGACTGAATGTTGACTATCGATACTGCCTAGAGCAATGAACTGCATTAAAAGCAAGCTAGGAACACTAATTTATCTTTTTAAAGTTCAATCACAAGTACTTTCTGCACAGAGTTCATATTCAATACCACTATGAATAAAACAAACACCTTATTCATATGTAATCAATTAATAACTTTATTTATGCTAGATAAGTAATACTAGTATGCACTGTTTGGATTGAATATTACTTTAGCGTTTGTTTCATTCACAGTGGTATTGAATATGAACTCTGTGCACAAAGTACTTATGATTGAACTGTAAAAAGATAAATTAGTGTTTCTAGCTTGCTTTTAATGCAGTTCATTGCTCTAGGCAGTATCGATAGTCGACATTCAGTCTATCATGATGTAAAAGTGAAAGATGACCGCATTTAATAGTATATCTTCCTCGATATTGGCCAACCGATAATGTCACTTGGTAGAGGACTTTAATTTGATGTTGTAATGATACTCTATTAATTTCAGGCAAACCCAAGAGGACGAACACATCTATTTTGGGCCTAAAATGCATTTTTTTGATTTTTAATGGTGTAAGAGTATCTGAATCACTTTTTACATATCACCAATAAATTCCTAATCAAAAAATACATAAAAATACTATGTTTGATGTATTTTTCAGAGCTACATTGGGCCTATGGAGAAAAAAGTTAGTTTTCAGATTCTAACTTTGAGCAGCTGTAGATTTTGAAGGAAGGAACCATGGCACTTTTTAAACACATGAAAAGTTTTGTTTTTTCATGTACTTTTATGAAATGCATTTAGTTGATAGGTCATTTTTGGACCTATCAACTCATTTTTGATATGACCCAATATAAATGTAAAAAAAACCACACGAGAGAGAGTGCATGGGCGTGGACCTGTTCGCATCGAAATATGAAAGGGCATTCACAAAAGAAAGAGTGACAAAAATCGATTACGAGAACACGGTGAAATTTTTCGACGGGTGATTTTTTATTTATTTTTTTTTTTCTAGGTACGGAAAGCCTAATGGTCAGAATTGCTACACGCGCAGCTGATTAAGGTCCGAAAAAGGGGGAGAAGGATAGGCAACCGAGCTATGGAGAATCGCGCGCACACACACACTCATACAGCAACAAATAGTGTGGAAAAGCAGATGCATATGAGCTGTGTTTCTCACTTGCACGCACGATGTAACAAGCTTTGTGTATGTACGTCTGTGTTGGCTCATAGCTGCTGTGTCTCTCTTATGAATGTGTGTGTGTGTGCGAGTGCATACGCATCGTAGTAGCTTTACGAGCCTGGAAAGCAGAGAAAAAGAAAGAGAATCGAATTAAGAACGCGACCATGGCATCGAAAGGCCTGCATACATACACACATTCGAGTCTCTCTCTCTCTCGCAGCGGATATGTAGGTACGTACACGTACACACATACGTATGAATTGTTCGCAAGCGAGTCAAGCGAGCGCGAGCTGTGTGCACTTGTGTTATATGCTGTATCGTAATGCACGAGCCGCGCGCGGCGAAGCTTCGTTCGCGGTGGTGTGTGCATGTGTGCGCAACCGAGCACTGCTGGGACGTCCTGTCTTCGTTATAAATGCATTTATTACATGTACGTATATACACCTGAGTGCATACTCGAGTACGTGCATATACGCGTTCGTTACACGCCGGCCGGCGTATATGCACGCGTGAATTATGCGCAGCGCGCCGCAATTCGCTGCTCGTCGATATACGGGAGACGCGCGACATCGACAAAAAAGCTGAGAGAACACCTTGCACGAACGAATTTTCGATCGATTTGTAGAGAGATGAGCTTCAA